AGATACGTAGATCCACATACATATGTGGGTAATGAAAGTGCATCCAAGATTTTTATAATACAGCAAAATGCACAAGCATTGAGAGGCATAAAAATAATAGGTGGGTAGAAGATCCTTGAGAGTGATGTTTGTGCTTTAATCTCCAGAGCAGGAAGCATGGCTAAGTTGGTAGCTCGCTGGGCTAAGATGTCAGAAGGTCGGATTGCACATTAGGATTTGGGCTCATCCCAAATGTTGACACAATATTGAAGGGGGAAGGGAAAGGGAAAGGCATGTGACAGTAAAGGACATTGTATTCATCAGTAAATATCCCTCACTGGACCATTTGGAGGGAAGCACACTATAGAATCAACACAGAGATTTCTTAATCTCTGCTGCTAAGTATTGAATTGGGCTGGTAAGAAGCACCAGGTCTTGTGAAGACTCTACTTACTAACACTAAATATCCTTTAATATTAATGTAATTTTAATTAAAAATGACTGAGTATATATCTGACAAAAACAGAGTCTCAGTGACTTTCCCCTGAGTGTGCAGCACAGCCTCAGTTTGTCTGCTATTGCTGTCCCTTTCCAAAAGCAGTTACCATGTTTACACTTGATATTGTATTTATTATATGAAACCTCACTAGCAAAGATTAAGAAAGTCTACTTTGATTTAATTTAGTTTAAATTTCCCACATTTCTCACCAACTCCTACTAATAATTTTAGTTAAAATACTAAAGCAATAATGGAAGCCTACAGAAGCATCCTGTCAAAAATGCGTGCGTACCTATTTCTAATACAGATCTTGATTATAGGATTCTCATATACTTGTGTATCTCAGTGTGTATCATAGGAATTTAGCTCATTCAAGTTGGTCTGTTAAATAACAGCATTTAGAAAAAAAAATAATGCTGCCTTCTCAGAAGGATTCACACTGTAATCTCCTGGATTTATTATTATTAAAAGTCATATAATAATTCAACTTGGAAGGGACATAAGGGATCATCTCATCATCTGGTCCAATCTGCAGCCCAATGCAGCAGCAGATTTGAAGTTGGCTTTACTTTCAAGGTCAGATAAATTGCCCAGGCCGTTGTTCAGCTGAGCTTTGATTATCTCCAAAACCATAGATTTCAAGTGTCTCACATCAACTTCTTTCATTGCTGATTAGCACTACTGTGAAAAAAAATACTTCCTTTACACTGTCATAAAATATTCAGATATCTGCTGATCATAAAAATGATGAAGAGCAAAATTAGTTCTCTACTCAAGTCATATGTTCACAATAAATTTACGCAAAGATATTCAGCATACAGGATTGCTAGTCTGAAAGAGAAGATGGGTTATATACATGCTTGTGAAATGTACTTTATGAAAGGGAATGATTTATATTATGTGATGCCTGTAATTGCATTTGGTGATCTGGCAGATATTTCTAGGCCTGTCTTTGCTGAAAGACCTTAAAGTGCCCTCTGATTACTTGTTTATTCTTCCTCTTTAACTTGTTTCAAATGGATTTTAAGGTCCTTTCTCTAAACTATTGACGTGCTGCCTGTCCCTGTAGTGAATTAATTGAGCTCATTATTCAGTGATAATGTTCTCAACTTCATGGTTCCTACAACCACGCCTCAAATGTTATCAAGGGTCAGTTTATTCCCATGTTAAGACAAAAAATGAGTGGAAGGCAATGTACCCTTTCACATACCCACCTCACACTCAGACAATAGACCCTTTTAGTGTCAAAGTAATTTCCTGCTGAAGAAATGTTCCTACTGTTTGTTTTTATTTGAATAGGTGAACAGAATCATATGAGCCTTGCACAGGGCAAAAGGGTTGGCCAGGCAATTTTGGCTTCTTGTGGGATCATGCTCTCAACTCAAATGTACAAATCAATTATATGATTTCCATGCCGAGAAAACACATTAACTTTTAAAATGCACAGCAGCAGCCTGGTCTTAATAAAAATTGTTTCAAACCCATTCTTAAACCCTGTCTCCAAGTTTCAGCTGAACATGAACATCCATTTACAGCCAATTACAATTTCTATTATGCTTTGAAAGATATGTATATGCACTAGGAATACTAAAAGCCAAACCCCTCACAACTCTAGGTGAAATAGGGAAAGACTGAAAACCTTTCAAGATATGCTTAGGCAGAAATGCAGTCAGTGATCCTTGTAACTGAATAGCACGCAACTACTGAAAGTATGTATACCACAGACGTAATCCTTGGCCTTATGTATTATGAAAGAAGAAGTGCTACAATCCCAAACTGATCATTTCAGGAACAACAGTCTATTAAAATGATTCATTCTCAGGAACTTTCATAGATGAGGAATAATAACAGAATTAAGCCTGGGGCAAAAGCTGACACTTCAAGTGTCACAAAGATTGTAATAGAACCTTTTCTGCTTGCAGTAACGAAACAGGCCATAGAAAAATCTAAAAATCTGCATGAAATCCAGTGAGGACAAAGGAAAGCTCAAATCTTAATGTTACAGGTACTTGTGCTTCAACTGCAGGCACAGCTTTCAATTTAACTGCTTACACAGCTGGGGTGCAGGAAATTTTTCACAAGGCTAAAATTAATATTTATATTCAAGGCCCTTCAATGTAATTGCTTACGATGGCATGTTCCACTGAAACACTTATTCACAGGATGCAGTTGTTCTTACTTTGGAAATGAAGGTTTCCAGTGGAGAATTGTTCCCATTTAAAATGTTCCTGTCTCACAGCAGGACCCCAGGCTACTTTTGTAATCCAGATTCCAGATGAGAATTACTTGTTTACGGTCAAGTTCTCAAAGAATAAGGAATGCTGAACTGAGAAAGGTGACATTCTCTTTATGTATGCATGTTTGTTCATATGTAATGCTAATTCGTATGTTGATTGGCAGCTGCAGAGAAGAATTAATTGGGTGCTTAAACACCAGCTCTGTTTACCTTGTTGGTCAGGATTCCTCTTAATTCTGCAGTTTCTAAACCAGAGTGGTATGAGTATTCCAGCAATACTCATCATGCTATAGTGATTTATTCTTGTTACTGCTCCCCAAAAAGCATTTATCTTCCATGCAGTCCATCCAGACTTATAACAACTTACCTGATATTGAAAACCTTCCTTTCTGGTTTTGCATGAAAGTTTTCAGTGATTTTTAATCTTTAAGAAATGAATGAAAACCAGTGTTTTGCCTGAAAGTCTAGTAGTTTCCTCTGATCAGAAGACTACAGTGAGGCACCAAATTTGGTTATGAAATATCTTCCTGTTTAGGGAAGGCAAATCCATGCTCAGGGACAGAGAAATCTTAGTTAAGTGAAATCTAAATACCATTAGACCCCATTTGAAAACGTTAATTACACATAGAAAATTAACAGAATGGAAACAAGTGTTGGTGAGAAGATACATCTACTAGTGTGCATTCGTACCAGAAGCCTATCCCTCTATCTTCCCACTTTTCTGTTCCACTAAATAATAAAAACAGCCAACAACCTGCTTGAGAAATTAAGTACCAACCAGATGTTTCCTGAGCAAAGACAAATTGTGTTTCCCTTTACACATCATCTTCTGAGAGGCAGCACTGCAGTGATTCCGTATCTGACATCAGTCACTATGTTGACTTTGGGTTACTCAGAATCTTTCCTTTGCTTTACCTTCCAACTCAAATACAATAGTTTTACAGCAAGATCACATGGGAAGAAAGGATTTGAATGACTAGAACACAATGTGGAAGAATGGTTTACATTCACTTTGTTATAACATCACTCCTTATGGAGGTACTGTTTAATCAAATGTGTTCTGATTTGGAAAGTTGTGTGCAGCACATAAAACTGCCTGTGCAATAGTTTGTAACAAAGATACATGAGCAGAGGTTGTGCATTCTATACTCTCCGTGTGGGGTCTGTAGGAAATCATGTTTTCAACAAGATCGACAATGGAGCCATTCACCCTCTTGAATGCTCAGCCTTACTCCTTTGAGCCCACTGGAGAAAAATGTACAGTCTGTCATGATGACAATCAACTGTAATGACAAAAATATGATTGTGAATTTATGAATATAAAATGCTTTCGCTCCTGCTTGCATTTTATTTATAAACAAAATTATGGATTAGTTGGAGAAAAAGGATGAAAAAAACCCCATCTGGACATGATTCACCTCTGTGCACATACTCAGCTTGCTAGGTACACAATCCCTGTAAACGTTGAAACTCTATGTTTTAAGGTAGGTTCACAGTTACAGACAGGGTTTGTACTGTGGCACAGAGGTCAGTTTTGTCCAGAAGGAACTGGAAATCACTTAGCTTGCATCATTGCTCCAGGAATATCCATCCTCAGCTAGTCCCCTTCTTAAGTGCTGTTACATCAAGTCTAGAACAGTTTGTTTCACTTTAGTCTTTCTGAACAATCTCCCCAGTCCCACCGTTGCTGCTGGGCTTCAGAACATTAACTTATATCCACATCGTGTTGTTCAAAAGCAACCATGGTATTCTTGATTGCATAGGACATTTGAATTTTTACAGACTTCCCACACTGCTAAAATGCTTTCTGAAGGTATTTTTTGTTCCAACACTGCAAATAAAAATTGGAGAATTTATGTACTCAGGTGAAACACCATCATATTCCTGGTATGATGAAGATAAATAATTTTCAGTACACATACATAAAAATTCGGCCCTACCTCCAGCAAGCACACATGCACATAAACTATGGGAAAAGAATTATGCTTCAGAACTATTCTCACTCTATGTCTGTTCTTTATCTGCTGGAGAAAAAAATGTGACAGCTAAATCTAAAATGGATTGAAAATTGTCTAACACTGTAATATTGAATTCTGTAATGGCTTCTGAGTCAAAAACACTTGAAAAATGCCTAAACTGCTGGCAGGAAGCTCTTCAGAATACATGGAATCCTACTTAGTTATTCATTCAAAAGCCTTTAAAAAGCAGCCCACAATATCAGGCTGCATCTGTGACCTGCCCAGCATGGCCACTGTTGAATATGAGAGAAGGAACAAGAACACTGCATGGATGGAGTAATAATTTATTGGAAATGAATATGTACACAAAGTATAAAGGCAATCACTCCAACCATTTCTTTTTTAACAGGACAGAGCTACCCCAGTACAAGAATTGTTCAGTAGCAGGATTAGATTCAGTAACAATGCAGAACAGGTTAAATCCCTGAGATTGAGGCCCTCTCATCTTTTATGCACTCCAACACCTCTCTGCCCCCTGCAAAGGTGCTGGAAATGTAATTTCCTGCTCTGTTGTGCTTTCAGTGGATCATCATCCAAAATTACAGTTCCATTCTTCACAGCAGCATGAAATTTCAAATGCAAGCAAGCCAAAATTTCACATCAGGTTCAGTCACAACCAGTTGCAGGCATCCAGTTTAAAATTACTTCCAGTCTCAAACTGGTACCCAAGCTGCTTTCTAGATACGGTACTGACTCTGAAGATATAACTTGTTCCCATTAAATTAGATGTGGAAGCTAACTCCTCCTTTTTTTCCTAGCTGGACACAGCTAATGGCTTTTACTTTGCATACAGGGGTACTGAGATGTGAATGCAAGGCTTTAGGCACAAGTCCTTTTAGCTCTGGACTTAAAGCCACTATAAAGAGGCATCATAACGTAGAGCTCCAGTTCCTGATGTAGACTTCTAGTAATTTACCTGCATGTCCTCAGCATTTTATAGGTTTATAGCACACAGTTTACTAATTGAAAACTTGATCAGCAAAAGTGTTTCCTCCTCAGCAATGCCAAGTTCCATTACCCATTTTCAGTAGGCAACCACCCTGCAAGGCCATGAAGGCAGACCCAGGCATAAGACATGCAGAGAATTTTCAGTCCAAGTTCAGATGTTTCTCCTTGCAAGATCGTTGTCTCTTGTCCAAGGATGCAATATTTGAGACAACAGAACTCTTCTGGCTGGCACGTGACAATCAGCAGAAGCAAAGCATGAGGGACAAGGCTCAACTTATGTTCTTTCCAAAGGATGCAGCTGATGCTGCTGTTACCTTGTTAGTGGCTAGCTCTTCAGTTGGAGATAGAAACAAAGATCTAATCAAATTCAAGGCATAAACCAACTATAATAAATTTTTTTCCAATATTAGAGGTAGATTTTATCCAGTGTAATACATCATAGCCACTCCTGAAAGTGCAGAGCTCTAGGAATTAAGCAACTGAGATCAACTTTGACCTACGTGCTCTTAGAATAATTATGGCAAGCTTTCTGTATATCCTTCAAGAAAGCAGGCACGCCACTCTGTAAAGAGAAAAGTGGAAAAGTCATTCTTGCATAATGGAGTCAAGAAAAACTATAAGCAGAATAAGAATTCCCCCTCTATAGATAAAAGCCTTTAACTAATTCAGGACAATTCTAAGATGTGGTACGAGGCAGCAGACCACTCCTTTCATACTTCATGAACAGACTGCATTATTGAAGTTTCCTTGTGTTAAGGCTATTCACATATGCTCTGGAAGAGGGGTTTCTTGGTTTTGTTGCAGAAATGTAACTGCCTGGTTGACTAACCAAGGGAATTTGATAGGACTTTAAAAAACAAAACCAAAAATGAAGACAACTGCAGTGAGAGCAGACAATAACGATTCTCTAAAAATGGGACTCTGTTACATAGGTCAGTACATCATTTCAGAAAGAAAATAATTCTACCCACCATGCAAAAGAAGGTACTGTTTGAATGCACTGTTTGAAACAGATTAGCCAAAGACAGTTGTGCTGTCAGCCTTTACTTACCCTGGCAGCCCAATTCACCAGCCATGATGGAATCATGCCACCAGGATTATCAAAATAGTACATATACACTAGAGAGGAGAGAGAAGTTACCAGACAGTTATCCAGCCATAGCCCATTTCTGTAACACCACATGACAGAAACTGTTGGTGTGCATGACTGAAGCACCAAGTACAACAGTTCTGCTCTCATTTCCTCACAAAATAGTCAACTTATGCTGAAATGGAATGTGAAATAAGCACAGCCATTCCCAGGTAACCTCTGAGAAGCTGGAGAGTGCCGGAATATTAACTTAGACTACTGCAAACTATTTTAGGCAGCATGTCTTTTAAAATAAGATTGTGTTTAAAGGACTGATCTCAGACAGGAGTCAAGCTCTAGGCAAACCCTTTAATCTATACATCTGTCAAACCTGACACTTAAATCATTGCTGAGTTCACGAGACAGCAGCTGGCATCAGACTCTACCCAACTGAGCTGCCTGGCAGGAAGAGAAATGGGGGGGCCAGAATGAAGTGGTCAGTATTTCATTCTTAACTACCTAGCCCATTAAATAAAAGATTCTTAACAGCAGCATGCTGCACTGGGCATTTCTAAAAGCTTCATTTATTTTAAAGTACTCCCAGCGCTCAGTACATCCACTTTACAGTACCTGGGTTTAGGTTAAAATTTCCAGTCTTCCTCTTTGTGCGGCTTGCTAATACATTCTTTGGCTACACGACTTCTGATCACACTTTCTTGACCTCTTACCTTTTGATCCGGTCTTGCCATCACTTTCAATTGCCAGGCTTTGTTTGTAGTTTTTAACTCTGATAATACCGGGCTTCTCAGGGCACTGAGGAACAGACACACTCCGAGCTAACACAACCCAGACCTTCCGCCCAGCAACATCCATCTCTCGGCATTCACGGATATAGACATACTGTGTTCAAGTTGAGGAGGCATGTCAAAACAGTGTCAGTTTGACAAATGATGAATTGACAAGTGAATTCCAACACAAATACCAGCCCCTTCAAGTTATTTCTTATGCTTCTACAGGATTCAATCCAGTTATGTGAGCTTTAGTTGTGTGTAGGAGGAGGCACCCCCACTCTCCTTCATGTTATACATATTCGTGTCACACAATGACTGCAAGACCTTAGAGGATGTGCAGCAGAGCAGTAGAATCAGTACACTGTTGAGATCCCTGGATGACCAAGTGACAAAGAGTGCAAGAGAACAAAAAACTTGAAAGGATACATCTCTGTTTGAGAGGGGGAAAGGGTACTTCACTTCCCAGTAGATTACGTTTTCACCATCATATGTTTTCTCATGCAGTTCTGCAGTTGAAAAAGGAAGACTGTGAGATATTTTTAATTTCTATTGCAACAGGACCAAGAGCTGCTCAGATTTCTGACATGAACACATTTTACATGGCATCCTTATATCAAAATTGATATGTACGTAAAGTTGTAGCAGTAGGAGGCATTAAAGAGAGTTCTGTATCAGGACTGTGCAGGAACCAAACACACAAAAATAAGTGGCCTGATTTTCTGCTGCTGTTGAATTAGTTCATGAAAGACCCAAACAAACCACAAAACCAGAACAATTCTGGGGGGAGGCAAAATCAAATTCCTTTCAGACAGTAAGCTCATCCACAGCCTTTCCCTCTTAAAGCTTTTCCCTCATATGTCCATATTCTGTATAAATCTAAGCCACAAGTACAGTATGCTTTTTCACAAGCATGTCACTATCCTTGTAAATGATTCTGAGTTAACACGGAACTAGGACAAGCACTGCTTGTCATGTAAGAAGAGGTCTTACATGAGGGATTAATGAAGTTTGGAAAAGCTATTAGGAATTTCACAGCAGTATATACAGGCAACAGTGAACAAGAAGCTTGAGCAGTTTACAAGCCTTCATCACACCTTCAGCCTGCCTGGAAACTTAGTCAGAAGGCAACTGCATAGGAAAACAGAAAGAAAAATCTAAGAATAGTCCCTAAATCATGGCAGTGACTCAGCCAGACAGTAGTGTGGCAAAAAGGAGAAGAAAACAGTTAAAACCAAACTACATAATGGAGTCTGAAAAGCTGTTTATTGTACGGCTTATTCCCTTGAGGCAGTAACTGCCATTATCAGGTGAACAGACCTGATAAGCCATGAAGTTCAGCTCGATGAATTCCTGTCTGTTAGGGTCTGGTCATTACCTGAATGCATTATCATGGGTGTGATCCAGAAAGGTGGTTCATATAAACAGAGTGAGCTTTCCTCCTTTACAGCAGACTTCTGCCTGAGGTACTGTGTATCCTGCAGATGTAATGCACCTGCACATCACTTTCAGTGGGAGGAGTCTTTGGAAAACAAGGCTGAACAGCCTGATATTCTCATTGTTAAGGAAGGGTGTCACTGATGGGAGACTCTTCCCCTGTGTAATATGTTCCAAACCTGGCTTCTGCTAGCATGCCCTGCAAGTCAGCTGTCACCCACAAAACCAGCTCTTCTGCTCCAGGTTGGAGCATTTTGCTATCCACCAGAGGTCAGTGGAGCACTGGTATATTAGCTTTACTTTCATTCCTAACTGTAGAGCCAAAGTTTCTGAGGCCTCAGGCAAACCCCTGGAAGAACAGATCAAAGCACAACAATCTACAGTACTTGTAGGAACCCTTTCTATACCTGCTTCTAGTCAGGCCTTCAGAAAGAGTTTTGCTGAACATGACTAGAGGACAGAGATTACTTCCTCTTATGACGCGTGCAGAAGCAGTTACCTTTTCAGCTAAAAAGGCAGCTACATCTACTCTGGTCACATTTTTATTTCAATGCCAGACGGCAGTTCAGCAGAGAACTCTTCTTTGCACTGCCATTATTCATAGCTCTAAGAGCAACAAAGAATATAAACAGCAAAACAAAGAGCAAGAAGGCTCTGAATCAAAGTGGTCTGTTTTTTCTCCCTGAATATGAAAGAAAACCTGAGCTTGTACCATTAACACTGAAAACAGTTGCTGGCACTGTTTCATCCCGTGTACAGTTCTGAAGAATGGGTGGCTTTGCGTCAATTGTTAAGCAAAAAGGAAAGCATTAACATGTTTGTGACCTTCCAAGAGTTAACTTCTGTGAGACACTGGACTTGAAGTACCAGCACAAGTACAAATTCACAGATGAACATACGATGGTCAGCAAGGATGTAAACGCCAGCTCTGCAACATCAGTTTCAGGGTGTAGCTTCCCTGAACTGCTTCCTTTCCTTTCTTTAAGAAGGCATTAAGGAAAAAAAGCAGTATTTGTTTAAGAAGGATTCAGTTCTCCTAAATGCACTTGACGACTACTGAAGTAACTCAAGATAACAGTATTTTTACATCAGTATGATAATGTCGAATCCACTCTGACTGTTGTTTCATTAATGGCAAAGTGACCTTTGCTATAAGAAATCCATTGCCTATTTTGACAAATAACACTTACTAATGAAGACACAGCTTCTTAAGCTTGACCAAGTACTGACATGAGTCAAATATGTGGTTCTATACCCATACAGCCAAAGGCATCACCAGCAGTCATTCCCCACAGAGCTGTCCTAGAATTAACAAGCACAACATTTAACAGTTCTTTGGTTTTCCTTTGTTCAGCAAAACATTCTGACCATGTTTCATTTTTATTGGCCTGAACTGACTTCAAGCACAGGCTTAACAGGGAAAGGCTTCCCATCTTTAAAATAAATGGATTATTGGATGCTTACATCAGCTGAATCCTTGCCCTGTCACTGCTGACTTAAGATGTTTTAACATCATACAGATACCCAGGTTCAACTCCCCTTTTCATAGACAACATTAAATAAACACAACTAAATTAGTTATTCCTTTCTCTGTAAAAGCCCAGAGTCACCAACTGTTCTCTCAATACATCCATTTCTAATTGTTACAGGTGCCAAGAACAACCAATACTTTCAGGAAAAGGCATTCCATCATGTACCAAGCTGGTACAAGCCAGAGGAATATTTTTCACAATGAGAACAATCAGCCATTGAGATAATTCCCCTGGGAAGTTGTGGATTCCCCAACACCTTTTAAGAGTGTCCACCCTTTTAAGGTGGACAGAGTGCTGGGCTATCTTGTCTAGCCTCTGCTTTTGCCAAGAAAGTTTGGACCAGATGATCCTTGATCCAGTCTGGTGTTCTATGATTCTGTGACTGCACTGCTCCACTGAGATATGCAAAAGACACAGAAGAGGTACCATCTCCATTGCTCCCCAGTACCTCTACTAAAATTTAACTAAGGAATTACAAGTAGAACATACAAGGTGCTCCAGCATAAAAAGTGACGCCAATTGTATGCTTTAATCAACATGGAATTCATTCCAGAAAAAACGTGTATGGTGATGAATGTTAGTGTTCACCTGTGTATTTGCAGAGTGCAACCTTATCCCAAAAGATACTTAAGTCTGGCTCAAAGTCTTTGGATGCAGCAGCTTCAAATACCTCTGAAGAAACTTCTGGTAGGAAGAGTCAATGTAGACATAAAGCTTGGATTTAAATGGCCTAGAGGAGCTTACCTTTAACATACTGATCCCACTGCTTTCTGAAATCCAAGTCCATATAGACATCCACACACAGCTTTGGGGAGCAGTCAGCAAGACCACCAAAGATTTTATATTCATAAAGTCCTGATTGCTGTGGAAACAGAATGGGGAAAGGAAAAATCACACAGGAAAGGGAAGCACTCTGCAGCAGGGAGAACAGCTGAAGGAAGTTAGGTGGGGCACATACTACAGATCTGCCCAAGAGCTGTGAAAGAAGCGCTCAAAAAACAATGCAAGATCCAGTCTTTAACCTCTTGACTTTTTGATCTACACATGAAAGTGTAAATCCAGACAGGCTGACCTGCCCTGACAATGGTTGCTCCTTCCCTTACACCAGTACCCTTTTACTTCGTAAGTCGCTCCAAAGGGAGCATGTTTCTTCACACACATTCCCACTTTTCATCTCCTGTGGTCAATGTAGAATAAATCCTGCCCACACCAAAGCTTACCAGAAGCATTAAATTCCTGTGGCAAAGCCTCCAGACCCTCCATAACATGCTTAAGAATCTCAGGTAACCTCCCAGGAGGTTACCAAGTACTGCACCATCTGGAATAAGCTTTCCAGCAAAGTAAGTGTGCTTATCCCTCAAGCTGTGATGTAAGAATGCTTTACAATGTTCACACTTATATACAATGCACTGTTATAGCTGCCTTCAATATGTATTAGCTATTTTCTTTCTGAAAGCTGTCTGCAATAAAGGGGTGGGGTGCAGGATATCTCCTGTGTTAACACTTTTAATGTTACTTTCAACATATGGAAACTCCATCTGCGCCTATAGAACATTTGTACTATTGTTAGTACCAGTTCAGGACTAAATTAAAACAAAGAGAGTATTTTGAATATACAGTGTAGGAGTCAAATTCAAGCATTCTCAAGGGAAGGAAGGGATTATACAACATTCTGTCACTGAATGGTTGATTTTTCTTCTTCCCCTCCCCTTCACAAATCAACCTCAGAAGATGAAGAACTGATACACTAAAAGATAATAGTTCTTCAGCTATTCATCTTTACTGTGGCTTCACTGAAGCATCAATCACAAGCTTCCAACCTGAACTGGTCAGCCCCACACACTCTTACAATCTTTGTTAAAGGCATTCACGTTTATTTTCACAAGGAAAAATTCATTTTTAAAGTATTACAGCTGAAATTAAGCCAAGACCTTACAGCATATGCCAGAGCACAAAATTTGGGGCTTCATAAATGTTCTTTCTGTTCTTTTATTATGGCTGCATCTTGAGAGGCAACAAACCAAGCTCACCAAGACCTTTCATTCTGCAGTCGATATGCAAAGCTTGCTGCTCATCAGCACACTCACCCATCCTCTGCATCCTTTGGCTTCCTCTAATCTCTTTGATAGAAGAAAGCCATGCAGCCGTTTCCTCATTTAAGCTGTCAGAGCCTGCCTCAAAGACACAGAAGTGTCTGCTTTGTGCCTTAGTGAGGGCAGGCTACAGTTCCACACTTTTAGGACAACAAACTATTACATTGTATTGCTTGTTTCTAAAGCTTTCACATTCCACCCTACAGCAGCTGGAAGTGGCTGGAATACTTTTTAATTGAGGTTTATCAAAAGACACATGAACAATATAGATCTTTAAAGCACTTTTGTTATAGGCAAACGCTCCATCAGAGGTTAAAATAGAGCTGTAGCAATGTCATTTACTGTCACATTATTCAGAACTCACTAGAGAGTGCAGGTGTTGCACTATATATTGTGCTGACTTAACATATGGGATTCTACCTTACATTCAAAGGTAGGCTCCTAATGTCAGTTCAGTCATTCTTACATCTGTAGCCTTCAAGTTCTTATACTGTCACTCAAGACAGATCAAGAAATTATGGTGTTCTCTCCCAATCTATTTGTACCACTGCTAGACAAATCATGGCATATATCATTAAATATGTTCTACTAGAAAAGGGAGGATTTTGCTAACAGTATGAAATAACAGATTTGATTTGAGAAGTGAACAGTACACCCTACAGGAGGTAAAAGAGACATTCAATAAAACCAACAATGTACAATAAGAAAGCTAAACCAAGTGTGGAACACTTCAGGTTTTCAATCAGTGGGTTGGAACACAGCACGCAGCTGGAAAACCAATAGGAAATGTAACTGCTTTCTTCAGTTTCCCAGGCTACCACTGCTAGAGTGGACTCGCAGAGCGAACACTCCGTTAGGCCGGGAGCACCTTCCCGCAGGAGCGCCCCCGGCACCGGCTGTTAACGAGCTTTCAGGGCCTCACCGGGTGCGGGTTTCCCAGCGCACCGCCTCTCAGGGTGGCGTTCACCGCAGCGGCGCCGCTTCCTCATCAGCATTTAATAGCATTACTCTGAAAGCTGCTTTCCGGCAGCCCGGAGAAACAGAGCCGAGGCCGGGGGCACCTGGACGGGCAACGGGCCCCATCCCGCCCTGTCCGCGGCCCGGCGGCTCTACCCGCTCCTCTGCCCCAACCCTCCGAATCCCTCTCCCCGCTGCGCGCCGCAGACTCTCCCCGAGGGGCTCAGCGCCGCGCAGGGTCCATGCACGGCCGCCCCCGGCCCGCCCACCTCATCGTACAGCCGGTAGATCCGCACGCCCATGCTCTCCACCAGGAGCTGCCAGGGCCCCCCCGCCGCCGGCGCCGGCTGGTCCAGCTCCCGGCAGGCGGCCAGAAACTGCTCCTCGGGGAAGCCCCGCAGCGCCGGCGCCTCCATTCCCCGCAGCGGCGGCGAGCTCGGGGCCAATGGCCGGCACCGCCCCTCCGCGCACCACGACCGGCCCCCGCCGCGCCCCGGAGCCGCCGCGTAGCCGGGAGAGGGCTGCGGGGCCGGGGCGGTGCGGTGCGGGGGGCGGAGGATGTAGGGTGCGCCGGGGTGAACGTTCCCGCTGTGTTTCATGATAAGGTATCGGTTTGTCAGCCGCGCTTGGGGAGGCGGTGTTTAAATGGCTCATGTCCGGGGCCAGAACGCGGTCAGGTTCTGCTGGTGTGTGAGTCAGAGTTTGGCTTTTTGGGTGTCCCCCCAGACTGAGATTGAAGAGTCTCTATGAGCACGTGTATTTTTGTATATGTATTTTCACATTTTAAAAAGCAGTTTTTCTTATGGGCGGTTCATATGAGGAACTTAAATAGGAGATTTCAGTTAGATTTAAGGAAGAAATTCTTTACTATGAGGGAAGTAAGGAGCTGGCACAGGGTGTCCAGAGAAGCTGTGGCTGTCCCATCCCTGGCAGTGTTCAAGGCCAGGTTGGACGGGGCTTGGAGCAACCTGGTCTAGTGGAAGGTGTCCCTGCCCATGGCAGAGGGGCTGGAACTAGATGATCTTAAGATCCTTTCCAACCCAGACCATTCTATCATTCTATATATAATGCACCCATACACATTGTGCAGCAGCTGGTAAGTGTGTTGGACACAGGTACACCCTAACCAGCTTACAAAATAGGCAGCAAAGAGAGACAGCCCTGGCCCATGGTGGACTGGGATGGACAGGATGGAAGGGGACAAAACTGCCACGGGTCTGAGCTCCTGGGCAGGAGGAGCTCACTGATGGGGACACTCCTCACATCCTGCTTAGGCTACTGCTAATGACACCACATATAACAATATGCTGATGTGTGAGGCTGGCACAGGCAGTCAGTGCATTCAGGTCATCAACATGTGAGAGGCTAAAGCAGGTATTCTCCCTGGGGTTGTAAGCCTGTTTGCATTCCAACTTTTTTCTTCTAATTCCTGTGAGACTTTCCTGTTGGACAGTGTGTCTTCAGAATAAAACGCAAGCCGCTCTGAGCTATGGAACATCATCAAACCTACTGACTGACAAAGAGCAGATTCTCTAGTGCAACGCACTGGGTAGTAACCTCTGTGCAAGGCTGGCAAAAGTTAGCTTTTTCTAGCTCCCTGCCGAGTGGCTGAGTTCTTTGACAAAGAGTTCACTTATGTCAGCTGTCCTCTCCAGTTCCAAACAATTGGTTTGCAAGCTTAGCTGAACATTTCTGGCTGACTGGTTTGGACACACAGGCTGAGCATTCGCGCACAATCCACAGAACTTCTGGAGAGAGAGTTTTGGCAGAAGGCAAGATGGTACCAAACAACCTCCCCCCAGCATGTATATTTGATGCCAGAATTTGCCCTGTAGCATCTTCCTAAAATAATGTCCCTAACGGTTGCCAGGTCTTTGCTCTCACACTACCTGCTCTCACCTCCCAATGAAACTCCTAGGCAAACATTCCAGTTCTTGTGTTTTGACTTCTGTCATATGTTTACATGTATTATGACCTTTTATTGTTAATATTTATACAATATATGTAAAATATTTTGGCTTGTTTGTGTTCTTTGTGAATTACGATGGTGTGCCCACCAGCCCAGCTGGTTCTCCAAAAACATGACGCTTCTTATGGCTGAAGCCTTACAAGTAAATTCTTGATGGAGCTAAAGTGACTTCAGTAGAGCTGTGCTACTCAACCAGGTGAGGACCTGCTCTTTAAAATGGAATATGAGACAATGGTGGAACTGATGTAGTTTATCTTGCAGAAATATCTCTTTAAGTGGTAGTTTTGCAGTGATTTTATCAGATTTCTATCGCACTTTTAAATCCCATTCATGGTCTGAACTAGGACTCAAATGAGACACAAAGAGCTTGTGGCTCTTGTTTGTACACGGATGACTTTCACCCTGTTTGAAAAAGGAGAACTTGTGAGTCAAAAGCTAGTGTTTCACAGGCAGCAAAGACGTGTGCCTGTGGGATTACATGACCTCTTAAGGAGCCTTATTTGTGCAAAAGGACTGAAGTGCTCATAGCTCAACATTGTTTTTTTGTTTTACAGTAGATCTTTGGCATCATATTGTTGTGCACATGGCGTAGAGTTGTACATTGGCTACGGCTGCCTGGCCACTCCCTCCTTCCCCTGACGATCTCATGGAAAAAGAGATTTATCTCCCAAGGCTACTCCAGGGACCAAAGCTTTCAAAAAGGACATTACTATGTCCCCTTTTTTCTTGGTAAAGAAGGAGTGGTGATTACTAAGAAAGCACAAACAGTTCTGAAAGGAGACTTTATTTTCTATTTTCTTGTATGTTTACGTAAGTGTTATTATTTATCACTTGCATGTCATAAGACCTTAGCTTAGGGACAGAAGCTAAACTTTGAACCCAATCCCTTTAATATCTGCACCATTAGCTAGTGGGCTGTAGTCTTGGGGGAGTTCAGACACAGCAGAGACCAATGTCCTAGAGCTCTATCCCAACAGACAGGGAGATAGCAACTGCTTCAAGGCAGCTGGTTCTGGGAACACGAACCCAAGCTTGATCACAGCTACCAAAGGCAGCCTAGCTACAGCACGATCCAGTCCCACACATGGATCAGGACCTAAATACTATCTGAATGAAAATAGAGGGTTACTATTCTAGGGCAATGAGGGGGAGTTTCAAAAGTGCCCAGGACTTGACCTGCATACTTAGTATTTCTTAGGTATACATCTGCTGCTGCTTTCAGTGGGAAATGATACCTCAAGGAAACTTGCTGATCTGGGCTGTTCATGGGATTAGCACACCTAAATTGCCCACCTGTTTTTTAGAATGGAAATAATCTGTATTACTTCCACCCTTTCTGAAATCAGCTCTGAGTAATCCACTGAATTCTGTGCTGTGGCATCAAAGCAGTGAACAGGACAACTCCTCCATCTGAAAATCATGTGGCCAGAAATGAAAAAAGCAACATTCTGCATTGAAGTTTTCAGGCCTCACATGACTTTCAGTGTTTGCTTTGGATATGGGTATCCATATGTGAAAGTGCTACCAGCTATATTGTGTTTTCCTGCATCTGTCTCTGTGTGGCACTGGTGCACTTTGAGAAATTCTTGAAGATGAACTAAAGATGTGGGATTTTGATGGATTCTACTGCTGTGCAGATATTTATATACTACTGTCATTCCATTTCACTCAGTGTATTCCAAAAATTTTGCAAAAGTGCTGAATAGTCCTGACATTTATGCAGCATGCACTTTCATATTTTTATTATACACAGCCAGACCAATTATAATCTTATGCTACTGTTGTTTGCTTGATTGCATTATGTAAAAGCCTTTCTTACAAATTGTTTTATGACTTTTGCAGCTTGCAAGAAGCAAATTCTTCATCCAGGAAGCTGGAAAGTAACAATAGCATCTCCCAGGATAGCCATGCTTGTGCAAGGCAGTCTATATTCTCCTCTGCTGCAGGAGTCAAAGGGAAATCTGTTTTTCCAACACATAAAGAACATGCAGAAAATCCAGCCTGTCTGACACACAGAGATATGTATTGTATATATTTTATCTAAAAATATATTCTATATATTTTCTATTCCTGCCTATGTGTATAGGCAGGAAGGGGCAAACAGACTGCAAAGAACTAGCACAAGACATGCACTGTTCAAGCTGTCAGAAGAGGTTTTAAGTGGCCATTAAACACTAGCTTGCAATAGCCTTCTTCATAGAGTTGAATTTAACCCCAAACTAGGAATCTATCTGTATTATCTAGTTTCAACAGAGCTCCATTCAAACAGAAGAAGATTCAGAGAACAGCTGGAGTTCTGCTGTTTTCCTGACTGCTACTACTCAATATTATTTACCTTTAATATGCTGGATTCCTGGTGTTAGGACCCATCTCTTCATTTGGCCATGTTTACTTTTGATTTACACCTTTTAGCCACATTCTCTCCCAGTGCAAATAAACTGGAGACTGTGAGGTGCAACCCATCTACCTGGCCTTGAGGAAAGGGGCAACTTTACAGCTTCCCTATAGGAAAGAAGGGATTGCACTATCAAATCATCTGCATGACCTAAAATGAGTCATTCAGAAGATAAGCAAGGCTGTTTAGATCTTGACTTCATTTGGCAAATGGTTGTCACTACCACACCCTCTCCTTTCCTAACTTGTTTATGTGGATGTACAACTATTTCTAAGCATTTCCCTTAGCATGTGATGCTAATGCAGATGATATGGATGGGAAGCTCTCTTTTGTGGGAACAGTGAGAATTCGGCTTACTGCAATAATGCTTTCTTCTTTTCCTTAATTCTTCTGTAGATCAGACACATAATTTACTGCTAATCCCATATGAAATCATCTGTTCTGCAGGAGAAAAACCTCTGTATGTAGCTACATGCAGTATGTTAGATATAAATTTAGTTCCAAGGATTGCAGTGGAGTAGGACAAAAAAAAAAGACTCATTAGACATGGTAAAGGCTAAAGAATTAAAATTAACATAAAGGAATTAGGAAAAAAAAAAAAAAAAACAAACCCCAAAACCCCAGAAATAAACCATAGGTTTTAAACAGTAACATTTCAGTGAATTCGTAAGACAACTTCTCCATCTCTTGACTAGATAATTTTCTTCAAAATATACTTCAGATGAGCAGAGAAGTTTGGTTTCATGTTCAGATCTTGGGCTGAATGTAAAATGGAATGCTTTGTGATATGCAGAATGTCAGCTAAGAGAATCTGAAGGCTTCTTCTGACCTGTATATCTGTGTATCAGCAGCCCCTGAACACTACTGGCGAGTGGTGATTTCCTCATAATTCTTTCCCTTCTCACCAGTGTTCCCAAGCTGTCTAGAGCCTTGTTTTAAAGGAAGTAATCCAACCGATGGCCTGTGTATGGTAGCTGACAGCTCGTCATTTTCTGTCTGCTGCCAGAGTCAATTACAGTGGTTGATCATCCATATTCATTGGAGTGAGCATTAGAAGAGGGAACAGTGTGTGCCATACCCACTGGCAGAGCACGGAAGTGACACACAAAGCATCTTGACATCACCCACTACATGAGCTTGGGCAAGTCACTTTTGCAACTCTTTGTCTTCATTTCCCTCCACGTCTTTGTGCCCAGGTGGGAAACCAATAAAAGCCCTCTGCAGAGCCATGGGAAGAGCTCATTCCTACCCTGACTTAAATCTCAGCTGAATCCACTGGATTCTACTGCAGTAACCTCTAAGAAAAAGCACTGTTATGGTGAAATTACATTGTCTTGTCTTTGTTACCAGGTTTCCTCCTAGCTCAGCCAGAAAGCTAAGATTCAGAGACTCCAGTTGGCTAAAGATTCAGAGATTCTGTAACAGACTTGTGCTAGCTTCAGGGTTTGGCTTCTGCTGGTGTGGTGCATCCCTCTGTTAATGAAAAGCACACAACCACATAAGGAATGCATCTTTTCAAATGTGAACTTCATGTAATTATGAAAGCAGTAGGAGATAAGAATAATTGTTTTCAGCTCCAGATGTCCTGTCTTCTTCAGCACTGCAGGAAGATCAAGTGAAAGTCGAGTAGGGGAATAAGGAAGTTCAAATGCACAGCAGGATAGCTGAAATTGACCAAAGTATGGGTAAGATCTAATGGAGTTAAAAGAAAATTCCTTTCCATATTCCTAGTCACCAAGGAGGTTTCTCACTATCATTATAAGCACATTCATTTCATGAGCCTGATTACTGAGTGGGTGGTTTGCACAGCTATCAACCAACAGGGCTGAACTCCCTGGTGCTGGAAACTGGTTTAATGAGAGGGGAGCTACAACGTTTTATGTTCTCTGGTTTAACTGGCTTTGCTAAGAACTCCATTCCCCATCACGAAACACATGCACAGCAGGACATGGTAAGGACCATTTCCAACATATTAAACATGCTGAAAGAGTGCTTTCTAAAAGTTTCAGTAAATGCAATCAATGGACATGTTGTGTCCGTGTGTGGGCTTAGGGATAAAATAAAGGAAAATTCAGTAGAGAGTTAGGGAAAAGGCAAGAAAAACAAATTGAATAGGGAGCCCACAAAGGTTGTGCTTTGCCAGATTAATGAGTCACTGTTTGCTGTGCTCTAAAGGCCCAGGAGACTGTCAGACACTCAAAGGAAACCAGGAAGTATTACAAGTGTGTCTTAGTAGGCAGAGCAACAGCACTGCTTGATTCAGGAGTAAAACTGAGCTCTTTCAATAGGCTGCAGGAGTTCCAGAATGACACAGGCTTCTGTGTATTGTCCCCTCTGGGGCTGCACCTCCTCGGAGCAGCTGTGTTAAGGCCACAGGGAGCAGATTTTGTCATTTAGGGCAGGTCCTAAAGGGGAACTATGAGGCATTTAAGCATGGCAGTCCAAAACTGTGAACCTGTAACCCCTCGCTGCAGCTGTTGCTCAGTCTTGAAGTTTCCTCAGCTGTTTGCACTGCATTTCTACAGGTGCCAAACGTGCTGCTTCGGGTATGTTTGGTACTTCTTTCCTTATATCCTTGGAGAGTCATGCTCCAAGCACAGCAGGCCCTTAAAAGGCAGAGGTAGTCTGCCATTCCCGTTTTAAAAGGCCAGAGGGGTGGTTGTATTTGACCTCTTTGTGTCTCAGAGCTACAAACCTCCTCTTGTAGGGGACAGCCCACTGCTCTCACAGCACTGAAAGGAGGCATCATTCCCACCGCTTCTCATAGCAGCTCTTCTGCTTCACAAGAAGGAGTTACAATTGTATGGGGTCTAGAAGAGAGTGTAACTTTCTAGCCTATTGTTAGGGCATTTATTTGTTCAGAAACACGTGAATTCTAAGCCCAGTTTGATGCTTGTTTATGTGTACTTCAGATTACTTCCTCAAAAATCAGCATTGGGAGTTATTTTATGTAATACTTTCAGTATTTTATGTAATACTTTCAGTAATAAAGTTGGCATGGAAAAGTAAGAATGTACTGGGGAACTGTTGATGGTGTAAGCATAGGAGGGAGTTTCTCTGTCAACACAGGACCAAATACTACACTGGAAAGACTAGAGAGGAATTGATGTAATAGGAACGGGGTGAAAGTTAGGTCATGCACATACGTGCTACTAGCAAGAATTTCTAATATAAAGTGATAAATGGAACTGATACTGGAGAAAAATCCAGATATATTGAACAATCAGAGGATAAATATGACGTGTTAGTATTTCTGGTAGGACAGGAAAATATTTTACATCCATGCAGGATACTGACAAGGCCACATCTGAAAAAATGATGATCAAAAGTAAGCCTGAGAGAGTCTGATTTCTACCTCTTAGGACATTAGAGGGTTAATCGCCAAAAGAAAGATAATCTATTTCAGCCCAAGGCTGAATATATCATTGTCTATGAATCCATGCAGCTAGAAACAAGATTAAGGTTCCTAGATATCAACAGAATAAAGCTTTTAGCTTTCTAGCAGAAGCAGGAAATCCAGTTGGTTTGAGGTGGAACTTGGCAAATTTCATAAAGAGATTACCTGACACTGCTGCCTGTATGAGAAAGGCCTGGGTTTAACAGCCCAGGAGCTCCTGGCCGGGGACAGTTGCCCTCAGATGCAGTTGCTTATCATTGCTGCTGAAAGGCCAATGTGCTTGGAGGAAACACTTGCAAATGGGGAAGAAAGTGCCAGTTTCTTGTATAAAGCTGTGGATCTCTTCCAGAACCTCCTGACTGATTCAGCTGGAGGAGATGAATCCTTGGCAGGATCTCCATCACTGGGGAGTTCTTAATGATACACGGGGTGAGATCCTGGCTCCTGTGAGGTTGATGGAAGTTTTGCTATTCATTTCTTTGAGGCCAGGATTTCACCCTGGAAAGGGAGTCAAAAGTACATGCATGCTTTCAGAGACAGAGTGGCTGATTAAATACATCTGGAGCACTGCTCTTTTATCAGTCATTGATAAAATAGTGCCTTTTAAATATAAACTTTGGGTAAGCTTAACCACACAATACAAACATGTTCTTTTACAAGCCCCAAAAGCAAAATCTGTTGGGAAAGATCAGAAACCATGGTAAAAAATAACACCCATTCCCTTCCACTCCAACCCCCTGAAGAGTTTAATGTTCCGCTGAAATGAGTGAATAAAGCATAGAAAAGCCAGTTAAAATATTTCTAGATGATACATAAAGCTTTATCCTCTAAGGATGTAATCCAAAACTATGCTCCCGCTCATTTAATGCCTGAGAAGTGAAGGACCAGATGGGAGTTCATCCGGATTCCAGCAGGGCCTGGCTGTGCTCCGCAGTGTCATCCAGCCCCTAAAGGGCTCAGGACCCGCAGCGAACCCTCGTCTGCTCGGACCAGGGTATCTAGCTACTTGGGGGACAGACACACACGCCTCCCCCCATGGTGCTGTGCACGGGGGCTAAGAGGGCTGGACGATACCCCCCGGCCCCGTGTTTCACCTGGCAGGGTACAGAACAGCCCCGCACGGTGCGGGACTGGACAAAGCAGCGGACACCGAGCGCATCCGAACCGGGCATGTGAACAGCGCAACGCCGAGCCGCGGAGGGCAGGGCGAGGCGAGACAAGGCGGGGGACTGCCCAGCCCCGCCTGCCCGCCCCCGGCCAGCCTTCCTCAGGGCTGGAGCGGGACCTTCCCCGGTGAGCGCAGCCCCGCCCGCCGCAGCTCCAGCCGCTGAGTTTGCTCCGGTCCCTCAATTGTTTCGCTCTCACAAGAACTTTGTTTACAGTCCCTTGTGCAGCGGGCGGCATCCCCCTCTTATACTTGCTCCGGGCTGGTGTTCGCTGCAGTCCTGCCCGGCACTCGGGAGGTAAGGCACGGCTCGGCTCGGCTCGGCTCGGCTCACTATACTACAGCATGGTCTATCTAGCTTAGCTCAGTTTGGTTCAGTTCAGCATAGTATAGTATACTAGCATGGTCTGGCATGGCTCAGCTCAGTTTAGCACAGCTCAGTTTAGCTCAGCATGGCACGGCTCCGCTCGGCATACTATACCATAGCATGGTCTAGCACGGTTTAGCTCGACTACGCATAGCATAGCAGGGCTCGGCTGGGCTCTCAGGCGCAGGACCCGCACACACTGAGTACCCGCGGGGCTTCGGCCCCGCTGCTGCCCGGCAGCTCCCGGAGCCGGCGGGGCGCGCTGGGGTTGCTCGGGCCCTGCGGGCACCCCCGCGCCGGCCCGCGGTCCTGAGGCGGTTCCCGCACCGCTCCCTCCTGCCCTGCGCAGGGTTTGCCCCAGGGGCCGTGGTACAATGGAAGTCTCACAGTGCGGGCAGCCCGAGCCGTGCTTTGGGCTTTCCCTGCCTCTTCACTGCTCCTCTCGCTTGCATAGGTGTGCGCGGACGGGCATGACACGCGTGTTTTGCTTCGGTGTCTGTGGAGTGTTACAGAACGATTTGTTTGTGGAGGGGTCTGTCTGGTTTCCGTCCTGGCCCAGCTATGTCTGGAAACGCAAAAAGGTGTGAGAGCTCAGACCTGGTAATTATTTTACTGAAAAACTTAGTGACGGGAACTTAGGGCATCCCGAGGCACAGAGAGCTGGTACGCACGAGTGTAACGTGCTCTCCTCTCTATAGTTCAGGGCCTGATCCTGGAGCCTTGTAAGTATAAATCCTAGTTCTGTGTTTCCAGGAGTGTTCACATGGGGAAGAGTTGCAGGATTGTGTTCAGGGTTACCACAGGCTGCTGGATTCCAAATGAACTCTGGCTCTCTGCTCAGTATAGGACGACAGACTCCTTATATTGGTTTCCGTAGTCACTTTAACACAAACCCAAGTGTGAAGCATGAGCATTATGAATTACTGGAATTTATATATGGAAAAAGGGGTGTTTGAAATATGCAAAAGACAGCCTCAGGTCTGTGATATAGAAGAAAACTTAATGTGCCGCACTGCCTCTGGGTAAATGCGAGAAAGGGGAGACAGTTGTAGGTGAGAAATACCATCTCATTGCACTTGGGCAGAGAGCGTCAGCATGTGGAAAGCCTCCTGAGAGCACCGCATTGAAATGATTCCCAGTTAAAATCTTGGAAGCTGAATGTAGAGATTCCTTGTATTCCTGCTTCTTTGGCTTTATGGTGACGGGGGGAAGAAATTTGGTCTGTCAGTCAGGGGGTTGGTAAAGACATTGATTTAAAAACTGACCTGAAGTGTCTGTGGTCAAATCCAATCCAGAGAAATGACTAACAGAGAGATTAATCTTTGTAAAGAATGATGCTGGCTGAGGGGCGCAAATGTGCTGGGAAGAGCCTTTTGAACAACCATAACCATTCTTATAATAGGTGTGCAAGTTGCAAGATTATTCCAGAGGTCTGCTGTTGGTCTGATGTAACCTGCATTATTTATCTGAGGTGGGGGTTTTCCTGCATTTCCCTCCAAACTTTTCAAAAAGTGAAACTAGTCACTGGTAGAGACAAGAATGTAATCAAGGAGATAAGCAAGGAGACCTTTATTATTAGCTACCTTCATTAACCAGCTAATTATACTTTAGCTGTGTCACAGCTGAAGAGCAGCAGCAGTTTGTGCCTGTAAATGTCTGTGAGCTGTTAGCATGGCCTAAGCAACTTAAAAGGAGAAGAAGCCCTTAAAGTTTATCATTATACAAGTATATCCTCATGAATATATTCCCATTTCCACTTAGGAGTCCAAACTCAGTGTGGAAGTGAGTTTCCATAATCATGCCTATACAGAAAGGGAATGTTGAGTAAGATTAGCAACATAAATCTCTGCCTGCTTCATGAGTTTTACCCAGCTGCTTGGTGACTTCCCAGCTGTTTCTGCACTTGATTACAGTTTCCATCACTGTTGTGCTGCAGAGTCTGCCTTGTCCCTGTTTGAGTTACGAACCTTGTTCTTAAAAATCCAAATAACAGAAATTAACAATAGCAAATATAATGGACTTATGTTTATTACAGCGAGTTCTTGGACTCAGCTTGCCTGTTTGTTTTTCTGAGAGGAGTTTTTGGGTTTATATTAGGTTTTGTTACAGCAGAGGGGGTTTTAGTGGGAAGCATGTTGTTATTGCCAGTTTACAGCTGAGAAAACCAAGGCACAGGGAGATGAAGTAATTTGCTCAAAGAAACTGGAGACAGAATAGGCAAAACCCCAAGTACTCCAAGTTGTGATTCACATAAATGAGCAATAGAAATGAAGTTAAATGAGATTTGTGACTACAGAAATTCCCATGCATTATCTTGTCCTACTTAGCTCTTTCTGAGGTCTTGCCTGGGTTGTGACATCACTGAGATGAAAGAAGAAAATTATATAGGGCCAGAAATGTGCGGCTGCTGCCAAGAAAAGAGGCAGAAACCCCTTGGAGAGCCAGAGGGAGAACATCCCCTGCTTCCATTCGATCAGCAGCGGGAGTCAGCATACAGCAGAAGCTTTGTTCTTAAGAAGCTGATAAATATCCTCCAACTTTTTTTTGTAGGAAACGTCCATGCTAGAATATTGTTACCTCCAGTTCAGCAACATCTGAAAGCTTCAAAGCCTGGAGCAGCACTTGCATGACTCCCCCTTGAATTGACATACGAGACATCTCAAACCATCTTCCTCTGCTAACTGAGCCAAGGGATTTGTTCCGATGGATTTCTTCTGGACCTGGTAAGTGTGTGTGCTGCTGGATGTCATGGCTTTTCAACTTACATCTATTAGTGGGTAAAGCATTCCTCTCTTCTTTGTCTGGTGTTAGCCACAGATTGCCAGAGAAACACATTCTTCCTCCAAGTCACCATAGCTCCATACAGCAGTACTCATGGTATGATTAGTGAAAGGATGCTGGTGTTGCCGGGTATCTTCGCCTAAATTTCTTACCCTGAAACTTGAACCAAGTCACCTGTTGGCATAAGTCAGAAGTGACTTTGCTGGCAAAGAGGATCTAGTACCTTATTTTCTAGGGCTGAATACCTTTACTCCCACTTCAGATAGGTTCTGTTGTTTATTTTAGTTAGAGTCTTTCAATAGGGGTTTGTTTATTTGTTTTGTATGAATGCTGTCTGCTTACATCCTATTACAGGCAAGAAATGTGCTTCTCAGAAGCCAAAAGGTATTTTGCCATTAATTTCATTTTGGTAGTTCAGAAGATTTTTTTACAAAATTAATGCTAGTTTTGACTGTATAAATGCATCTCCTTTCTTCATAAACCTCTGTACAAGACATCTAAGAGATTAATGTTCATTGGGGATGTATCTGAAGCAGAGGGACAAGGACTCTAGGGACAGGAGTAAATATACTTTGACTGAATGTTGAAGTTTTTTCAAGATAATCATGTTCACTATGACCCCAGTCCAAAGTCTTTTCAAGTTATTGGGAACTTTCCCTATTTCTATGACTGTTACAGTGTTTAGACTTCTGCATAGTCATTAAAATGTATTTGGGTGTGAAATACCTTTTATATGGAAAATGATTATTTTGTTTCCTCTCAAATTTAATAATAAAATGTTGAACTAACTGAATATGGCTATCAAGTATCAAAGATTAGCCCTATTCAATTAGTAGGATCAAAAGAAGGTGACATTTAGGGAGCACATTCTCCCATTGTGCCGATCTTCTGTGACATTTAATGGGTAAGTGATGCAGCAACATAGTGGCACCGCTGAGTCTCACTGCCATGTAAGACATTATTGAGAATGCAGAACTTGGGCTCAGGCCCATGTGGGGACAGATCAGTGGTTCTCTAGGGCAACCCCATGGCTTTCCCAGACTCTTTCTGTCTGATCTAAAAGGTACTTAATTGTGCATTAGAATTTGAAGAACAAAGCAACAGAACCTCAGAGAGCAAATCTATTTGCTTTGTCCAATAAGCACTGATCAGATCCTGTTCCTGCCCTTGGAGATACCAGACACCTTCACAACAAAACACAGAACCATGGAATGGTTGTGGCTGGAAGGGTCCTCTGGAGGTCATCTGGTCCATCAGTGTCCTGCTCAAGCAAGGTCACCTAAAGAAATCTGTTCAGGTGGCTTTTGAATATCTCTGAGGATGGAGACCCCCAAAACACCCTGGTCAACCTGTTCCAGTGCTCAGTCACACTCACAGTAAAAAAGTGCTTCCTGATGTTCAGGCAGAACCTTCTTGTGTTTTCAGTTAGTGCCCATTGTCTCTTGTTTTGTGAGTGTGTGTGCTTGGTTCTGCTGTGCTCAGTGTTGTCATTAGGAGGTTACTCTGTCTTGTAGCTGCTGAACCCATTGTGGGATTGAGCCCTGGGGACAGCCCTGTACAGCAAGAAACACTACTGAGCTGAGCACTCTTCTTTAGGGCAGCAGAACAAAAGCTTTGTCAAACCAGGTCTAAACTTTCTTTATGTCAGTAGGGTTCAAGGAAACTCCAATACAAACTCTCTGACTACAGTGTAGCCTGTTTGTGTGTGTATTTAAAAATAGAGAAATCCTCTTTCTCAGAAAACACACAGTTATAGGATGTACTGAGATATAAAACCAAGGGCTCTCCACAATGGATGAATATATCTTAGCAACAAGGGTGGAGTGGTGGGAAAGGAAAAGGAGAATACAAGTATCTGGCAATTAACTTCCTAGTCACAGATGTGAAGGTGATAAAAGTGATAAAAGCATTACTGCATTGCCAGCACTCTTCCTTCTTCTCTGAGCTGCATATCATGCTGCTCATAAGAGCAAAAGCTACACAGCCTGTAGCAGAGAGTGGTGGGAGAGTCCTGTGCGCTACACGCAGAAGGAAAACCTAGTGCTTCCCTGGTGTACCAGTCTCTGTTGTATGTGGTGGGGTGTACTGATCACACAGCCATGGCGTTGTCAGAGGCTCACTAACCGCCATACCACCACATTCCCCGCAGGAATTATGAGGTCTGTTCATGGCTGCCTGTAGCAGCAGAGAGTCATGGGCTCATCTTTCCCTGATCAGATGGACTCCAGTTAGGCACTGGGCACAGGGACCAAAAGCTGTTTTGCCTCATAATGCAGATGGAATCAAGTTGTGCGTGCTCTCTGTAGGACTGAAAGTGTGTATACAATGCAGAAACAGAAGAAAAGTGACCTACTGTCACTAGAATGTGTATGACACTAAATTTCCCTCCCATGGAGTAACATGGATGTGGTTTCATGGACTTGAGTAATTTCCCCGTGGAAGTGGTGAATACCTCAATGTTGGACACTTTTAAGATTCAGCTGGACAGGGTGGTGGGAAGCCTAGCTTAGGTCATGCTTTGCCAAGAAAAGTTGAACCAGGTGATCCTTGTGGTTCCAACCTTGTATTCTGTGACTCTATGACTTAAAAGGGACCCATTACTTTTGCTTTCTGCTGGTGTTTGCTGAGTGCAGGGAACTGTTTTAATCTCCATTCCCCCCACATCCATATCTAGTCATGACCATTTGAATTTTTCACTGAGTAGCGCTTTCATTGAGAAGTTTGCTATTAAGTCCTGGGTTTTACTGGACCAGTTCATGCCCATGTTATTGTGATGTGTAATGAAGCAAATCTGCATAACGTGTGTGTAGAGGTGTAGCTCTAAAGAAACACTGAAAAAGTGTGGGAGCAAGAGCAGAATTTTTAACCAAAACAGCCTTTGAACTTCACCTCCTCATCAGAAGATGTAATGCCATTGAAATCTAAACTACATCAAATACCAACTTTAGGATGTGACTTAAAGTAAGATTTAGCCCACAGCACTTTAAGGTTGGTGTCTGTCTTGGTCTATGTTCTTTCTAGCACACACTGATGGCTACTATAAGAATTTATTCAGATCCTCCACAATCAGTAGTGTTACAAGGAAGCTTGTCCATAACCCCTTGTCAGCCATTTGTCATGCAACAGTAACGCTTGGTTGAACTCATGCTCTTCTCTCCACAGTGCACCGTGTGCTCAGCAGTGCCTGCTCTAGCCTAAGAACTGACGGAGTCAAGGCAATCAAGATGACAAACGAACCTATTAAAGAGATTCTGGGCGCTCCAAAGCATCCTGGTACTGTAACCATGGAGAAGTGTAATAACAATGACTGTGTGATAACCACCATCCCTCTTGTCAGTGAGTGCCAGCTGACCGCAGCAACAGGGGGAGCAGAACTCTCCTGTTACCGCTGTACCATTCCCTTTGGGGTGGTTATCCTCATAGCTGGCATCGTGGTTACTGCTGTGGCATACAGCTTTAATTCTCATGGATCAATCATCTCAGTGTTTGGATTAGTCCTTTTGTCATCAGGACTTCTTTTGCTGGCTTCTAGCGCAGTGTGCTGGAAAATCAGGCAGCAAAACAAGAAAGCAAAGAGGCGGGAGAGCCAGACAGCGCTTGTGGCAAATCAGAGAACCTTGTTTGGTTAAAGACAACCAGGAGAAGGCTGGACAGAAGGCAGAACCTTTGTAAGTCAGCTTGACTATTTATCGATAGGAGAGATTGCAAGTTTTAATTTAACTTTGGAAATGAACTGAAGTGGAAATGGAATGGATTAAGAAATATTCCTTGAAACTCTGCAAGTGCTCTTAATATTTTTCTTACTGCAGATTTGGTAGTGATTCTTTTGAAGACGGAGGAAAACCCACTTTTTCTGCACAGAAAGCGGCATCATCCTGACTTCCATCATCACAACTGCATTCTCCAACATGCTGATCATGTTGGAAAGGGACTTTTGAAAACTAAGAGTAGTTTGAACTGTCTTGAAATGCCAGGATCTCCTTAAAATACACACTGTGACATTTGACCGAGGGAGAAGTCATAGCATTTGAGGTGACTACAAGCTTATGGCCAGATTGTGACTTAAATTGTAGCTCAAAAAAGAAAAAAGCAATAACAACCAAACACTGCAGATTGCTCAATAAGCTGATTCTTATATTTTATGTAACTTTCCCCTCCCAATATCTGTGGTACTTTCCCCCCTTTTTTTAAACCAACTAATATTAATTTTGTTCTACTATTGAATAGAAATAGGTAGAAATATATAATGTTATTGTCTAACCTAAATAACGGGGTATGATTATGGCTTAAAACATGAGACTTTTTTGGTTTTATAAATTAAAATGGTCAGGTTTAGCACTTTGGATTATTTTGCTATAAAAGTAAAAAGTAAATTTCATTAAAATAATATTCAGTGCTGCTAGACCTTTAGCAAATCTGTTCTTGCTATCAGGATATCTTGTATCTTCAACTTTGACTGCTTTATGATTCTATTTTTGTAGAACAGTAACTGTGAACATATGTACTGCTGATCTCCTCCCAAAATCTCTGTAGAGTGTGGATTATAGTTTGATGGCCCATTCCTTTTGCAGGTTGCTGTAGCAACTGTTACTGGAAAACCATAATGGTCAGTTCTGCAGACACATACTGGCATGGTCACTTTTAGACACAACTATGAATAATTACTTGCTGAAGCAAAGTCATCTGTATAGTAACTGTTTGCTGAATGAGCTTTGGGATTGTGGATCTAGAAAAGCAGGTGCCAGGCGTCCCCTGTGTGTGTCCGTTTGATTCTGTAACTCTTGTGTTCCAGACGTCTTCCAGCTTCTTTTCAGATAATGAATAATTGAGGGGCTGGTCCCAAGGTGAAGCAAACCAGAATGTTATTTCTTCATCTCTATCCTGAAGGACAAGTGGTGCGGAGCCAAGTCACAGGCTGCCACCCCAGCGTGTGTGAAGGTGTCAGAAGGCAGAGGGGCTGCATGGAGCCCTCTTTATTTTTCCCCTCTCTGTTTTTTTTTGTCCTTTATTTCTCCCGACTCAAAAGGGCTGGATGTGATTTTTAGTTTCCACTGCTGCAGCGAGTGAGGCTGTTATTAATGTGCCTCCTCTTTGCCCTCTGCTGCCTCTGGCATCCACAACAGCAGTGGTGATGCCACTGCAGAGCATCCCTGCCAACCAGGGGGGTTGCCTTCCACAGGTCACCCTGGAGCTGTATGCTTCACCTCCTGAAATCACCCGGCATCCTGGCTTAGGTGCCACCTTTTCTTCTGCTCTCCATGGTTTAAGCTTGTTGCATCCATAATCTATCCCTGGATATGTGCAGTGCACTTCATGTTTTAAATAGAGCAAGCTGTATGTATGGGAGGGGATGTTTGGAGTCAGTATTTGCGTTGCCACACTCCGTGGTTACCAGACGCTATAATAAAATCACTTGCATCAGAGGAAAGCTGACAACACATTTTAGCACTTCCATGGCCCTAACTTAATCACGGCAGGAAGCTTTCCTGCTGCTAGGAGAACATGTTGCGTCACCAGAACATCTGACACCGGTGTCTAATGTCAATCACTTTGCTTAAGGTCATTAAAAATATTAGGGTGTCCCCTTACGATGTACAGGTTTTGCATGAGTGACAATTTATGGGAAATGCATAGCATGATAAATAATGGAACAGGTGGAACTAAAGTGGTGTCTTTCCTGTTTAAAATGAGAAAAGTGATTGACATCAGCAAAGCTGGATAAACTAAATAGGGCTATTTATTTCTTTCCCCCCTAGGAACACAATAGTTTTTCTGACTCTTTCTTCCCCCTCTCCATTTCTGTTTTTTTCTCAGTGGAATTTTGCAGGCTGCTGAGGAGAGAATTGGAGGGACTGTAGAGATGCAGGGATTTGCACTACACACGTGGAGCAGCTCAGTCCCATCGTTCCCAGTCTGTTGTCCTCTGCAGAAGTCTTTTCCATATGCGGGTCTTCCCTTCACCATTGGTGTGATAGAGGCGAGCTTGTGTATGGCATGAGGAAGGGAAACAGAGGTGCAAGGTGAGGCTCTGCTCCAAATCAAAAGAAAAGGCCAAACTCAATGGAATAAGAGGCAATGGGTTTTGTGGAGTATTTTTTTCCAGGGAAAGTATATATGAGTCAGAATTGCTCTGATACTGCTAGAGATTTCCCTTATCTCTACTCTGTTTTATATTTGCCCTGAACGTACAAGGACACAGCAGAGTGCCTGCACCACCCTCTGCCTTGCTAAGTGTGGGCATCCAGGCATTAAGCAGCATGTGAGCAGTGACAGCCAGCATTGTGCTGACCCTAGGTGTGATGTCCTAGCAAGCAAAGTTTCAGCTACTGCATGGTCCCAGGATACCAGCTGGCAGATAGATTGAAAGGCCTCTAGGTAATACAGGGCTGCCTCAGCAAAACTGCTGAGCTCAGCAGCATCAGCTCTATTCCAGTGGTACAACATACATGCACAAGCCTCTCCATATCAATCAGTGAGTGAAGTCTGTGCAGGACTTCACTCTTGTTTGTGTTTTACTCAGAAAAGCAAAATAGTAACTTTATGGGGAAAAATCCCAGCACTTGGTCTTGGCATCCTGCAGGAGGAGGCCAGAGGTTGTGAACAGTTTAGTCAGAGACCTCATGCTGTTGAAGGCGTTTTCACATACTTCATCGCTGAATTGCCACGAGGTCTTAGAAGCTGGCACAGACTTCACCACCATGATTTGTGTGCATTGATTTTGGGACAATCTGAAGTAGCAGTAATATCTTTTCTGAATGACCAATGATGACATCCCACACAAGTCTTACAGTCTATGTTTTTCATTCCCACAAATCTATACATAACGGACTTTTTCATTACTGTGCTCTCTCCCTATGCCCCTGGTGCTGGTTCCAACACAGGAGCAATACCTTCTTCTTAGCCCTTAAACCCTAAGTTGTTCTGAGGGAGGTGTTACATGAGTACGTGTGGCAGGTTTGGCCCCTTCATTTTTCCAGAAACCGGTAATTTTGTTAGATCTGAAATGTTTTTTACAAGGGCACATCTGCAATGCTTTTTACAGGGGTCAACCCCCTCAAACTGGTCAGCTACAAACAGCAAAATTTCAGCTTCAGCTTCTGAACCCCATGACTGGATTGATTTGGGGTTTCATGCTTGGATGCTGGGCCAGGCAACCCACCAAGGCTTTGCTACAAAGCCATATGGAACTCCAGAACTGCTGTTTGGTGTTTCTCATGGGAACCTGAGCGGCAGAAGTCAGCCTGGAGGATGCAACCCTGTGGAGATCACAATGACTTTCCAGCTCAGAAACACCTTCCCTTCTGATGCAAAACCGCTTTGAATGCGACAAGTGGTATTTCAGTTCTGGGAGAGGTTGGGTGGGAGCTGATGCAAATTTTATTGTCACAATTGCTTGTCTCTCCCTTCCTGAAAGCTCTGGCAGCATTGCACAAGCAAAATTGCCCTCACAAGGATAGAAAATTATCTAATAGGGGAATTGCGCTGGTGCACCGGGCAAACGTTACGGTGATCTTCAATAATAATTTCAAACCCTAAGCACAGGAAATTGTGTCTGTAACTACACCCTGTATTGCTATTGTACACAAAGCCAGTTATAGCCTGGGACAGTATTTAAAATAATAATCAGTTTAGGATGACAATGCTCAGTATTTGTTCAAGTCTAAACGCCCAATTTACGATTCCCCAGTCACTAGTGTGTCGTGATTTGTACGTGACCATGGGTCTAACACCAGAATTTGCCAAAAAAATAAAGAAAGAGAGAAAGAAAGGGTAGATTCATGGACTTGTGTTCAAGAGTTATGTTCCTCTGTCTTGGACACTCGGGAGAGCTCCTGTTACCAAACAATGAATGTACAACATTACTGCAGCTCAACAGAACAGGAACTGGGCTTCGAGTACGGAATGAAGAAAGGCTTGAGAGTCTCATCAGGATCCGGAAGGGTCAGGCCAGGAACAAGCCTCTGGAATATCCCGTATTCTTGCCTCAGCTTTGCTTATCCGGAGCCAAAGTCCAGGGCTAATGCTCCTTTAATCTGACGTGGAGGTTGTTGCATATTATTAGCAGGTTTCACCTGATTTGTTTTTGAAATGGGCTCTGAAATAAGAACAGAACAATATTGGCAGCCATCTTTTAGCATATGTATTTCCAGTACCTCTGATGCCTGGAAGCTGTAGGAATTTTTAGCTATATCAGTATAAATCTTTGTCAATTACAAAGGGCTTTGATATGTAAAAGTACATTAACATACCAAGAATTGCACTGTATGATGTGAAACATTATATAAATCCTGGAAAAGTTCTATGTGTAGACTGTATCTTACAGACTAAACCACATGGGAGAACAATGGTCTTAAACTGCAGAATCAACTTGAATTTTTGGCTTTTATTCAGGTTGTTGATGTCACTATTAACATGACAGAGGACCTAATCCTTCCTCTTGTGAGCAGGCAGTTAGAGTCCTATTGTCCTAACTCCTGCACCCAAAAATTTGCATTTGTGGCAAACATGGTATTTTTGAAAAACCCTTATTTTTGTGTTGATTCCTTCACTTCTTCACTTTCTGTGCTTTGCAGACTAAGAGAAAAATGTATTAAACTTTAAAAACAGAGGAAAAGAGGAAAGAGAACACAAAGAACAGAACAGCAAATGGACACTGCAAAAAGTCATGGAGGGATAGCAGAGCTTTACACAAGTACCTTGTTGAAAGAGATTTGTATAAATATGTAAGTCTTGTTTCTGATACATCCTTGCCTGTATCAGTTTTTTTCCTATAAAATATCTGAAGTCTCCAGGTTAAGATCAGTGTTAGATATCACCTCATATTTCTTCTCCTTTTCTGTTTCCTAGGAACCAGTCAGCTCAGTGAAAGGCAGGAGTTTAATTTCTTACATCCTTTGCAATCTAACTGAAATCAAATGGCCATTTGGGATTTGCAGAGGCAGTGCCCCCGTGCTTTTGGAAGTTAGAAAGCATTCAGCCACAGTCTACTCTAGAAGAGGTAGGCATCACATAGAGGTAAAGATTTCTGTACTGCAGCAGAAGATGTCAGTGAATCATCTATTGAAAAAAGTCAGTAACACCAGAGCAGCCCTTCACCACCTCTTCTCAGCCACATTCCCTTTCAATCTGAAGGCCCGAGTTTGTGAATAGAGTTAACAGCTTTCCTGGAAAACTGGCCCATGACATTATTTCCTTGTGAACTCCATCCACCTGTCATGTTAGGGCTTGGTGCGACGCCAGCACTGGCAGGAAATAATAGGCAGCAGGATGCTGGTGTGTGTCGATGGCCCTGACCCTCCCATTCCTGAACATGAATAAGCTTCGCGCTCTCAAGGCGTCACAGCCACAGGGCCCACAGAAACGCATGGGTGGGATGCAGAGCCACTAAAATAACATCCAACCGCCCTGAGCTGCAGCAACAGAGCTGCATGGGAAGAGATGGTGTCACATTCTTACTGCCGGCTGCTCTTTGTTCTCTCCCCTGCATTCTGTCTGTGCTGAGGATAGTACAATGGCTGCTTAACAAGGAAACAAAAGTACAAAGTAGGCCTGCATGTGAATTAGCTGAGATTCCCCAGAAGAACACAAAAGCTTCATTGAACAACTTTCACCACTTCAGGAGGGAAATGCACTGGGTGGGAACAGGAGTTTGAACGGTTTGCAGCTAGCTTTCTCCTGATACTGCACTGTTGTCTCTGGGAAAGGTAGTTCTCTTCAGTATTTAGCGGGACAAATGCTTGGGAGATTAAATGATGAGTTAGGGGAGCCCAAATCATCCCTTAGATGAGACTTGGTTTCAGTTTATGACATGGTGCAAACTGAAATGTGCATTCTTCAAGATCACCTCAGTAGCCCCCTGTCAATCTGGGTAGCTGGTGTCCCAAAATCCTTCATAGGCACTGGGCAGAGTGCAGGGAGGAGGATAGAAAGACTTCTTATTCCCACTCACTCCTCTGCCAGATCACACGTGGCAAAATCTGTTTAGGTTCTCATACAGCAATTCTTCTCTGAGCTACTCAAGAGTATTAATCTGGAATATTAGTTCTCTTGCTCCTCATCTCAGAGCTGTAAAGGTAGCTATGCTCTCCTGAAGGACATCCCATTTTGAAACTCAAAGTCACTACTCCATCTGTTTTAATATCTTGAGTTGTTCTGGATTGGTAAAAAAAGAGAAAAGATCACATAGACACACACACATGTGCTCTTTTGACTAGATGTAAGGACAAATAGCCTGAGATAAGTACACTTTTAATGCTTGCAGCATAAAAAATGCACTCCCCCAAAGGAAGCTTCTTCCCAGGGCTGATGGCTGAGAGCCAGAATAATTGCTGGAAGGGCCAGGCATGTTGGGGCTGGAGCTGGAATGAAAGTTTGTTTGTAAGCCAGTGCTCACCACCTCCCTGCTCCCTTTGCAGCTTTATGGGTAAGAAATGTCTGATCCCACAAGCTAGCTCTGGCTTCATGTGGTGAGATGTCTGTGCCTCTGAATCAAACCATGACCATTTTTCCTCATCTTCTGTGTAATGGAAGAGCTGAAATCTCACTATACTTCACATCATGTAACTCAAGAGCTCCTTAGTTAAGAGTGCTGGAGGCAGATACACTGTTCATGAGAATTGGCTTAGTCTCCTGGAATCAGTGGGGTATATCATGCATGACCATCTGAGTTGCCACTTCTGTTTTGTTTTTAGTTAAACAGAGACAAAGAAAATGTCATTCTTTGCCTACCAGCTGATGGTGCTTGAAAGAATGACCTTTGCTGTCACCCAAGCAAACAGCTTTTCAGTCATCACTCTGGCTTCTAAAACAAATTTGTAAAGAAACAGTCTGATCTCTTAGCCATTTTCCTGGAAGTATTTTTCATAAGAAAATCCAATGACTGGGGCAGTCATTGCCTGATCTGGAACAAAACTGGTACAGCTTAGATTTAATGAAATCCAGGCTTGAAGCAAACGAGATTTGAAGATGGTTAAGTTATTGCTAATGTTGCAGCTCTTATAAGATGAATGATTACGTGTAATAGGGTCAACACCTTCAGCTGCCTTTTAAGATTAGGAAAAAACTCCCAATAACCAATAAAACAAACTTCCCTTGGCGAAGTATTTCAGTACCTGCATCACAGCAGCTGGAACATGGCAGTGCCAGCCCAGCACCTTGTTCCGAATCTCCAGCGCCGCAGGGCTGCCCACACGTCCCCCTTCGCACAGCACCAAGGTCCCGTTGGCCTCCTGCAGCGACACCAATTTTGGATATTTTTGAGCGCCATCTACTGGAGTTTTACCTGGTTTATCCCTGCACACAAACTGTGCTGCCTATGTATTCAGAGATGTATAATACAGACAGGTAAGAGGTTTGAAGGATTTCAAATTGAGGAGGAGAATGAAAAAGTAAGACTTAAGCACCGCAGTACTCCCACGACTGATGGGCATCCCTACAGTGTCACAGCAAGCTCCCATGTTTTCATGGTTCTGATATTCCACTATTTCCTATGGTGAAACATTTCCAAATGCTGGACTTACAGCTGGTCTGAAACTCCCAAGGGATTAGTCTTCCACTGGAATACGATGATCTGATTAACTCCAAACTTTTCACAGAAATGTAAGAATTTTGTTGCTTATTCATTTTTCCAGGAAATTGTAATAATGAAATATGTTGCATTTTCGACTGCATTGTTTTAAAAAACATCAGAAAGAGAGAGATGACACAGAACATCTTTGTCTGCTGAAATGAAATATTATACACCTATGTGAAAGCTGTATGCCTTAATTCACGCACAGATAAAATCTGGAAACTGAGATTTGCATCCTGATTTGGGAAGGTAATAAAATGAGAACAGTCCTGGAATTTTTCATGGATTGAATTTCTAGACTGTACAGAGCTCCCATCGCTAAATTTTTATTTCTGTATTCCATGTTGATTTGAGAGAAAAGAGCCTGACTTGGGCGATTCTTTCTCTGTGTTTCTCTCCATGCACACACTGCTCATACCTTGCTAAACCCTAGTCCTGCCGACATCCTCAGTCCAGCAAAGCAGACTGTTGGCAGTTCCAGTTTCCTGTAGCACAGGCAAACCTTTTGTACTTCTTCCCTTCGGGCAATTTTCGTTTTCCCAGTGTTAGAAGTGTGCGAGGTCTTTCCAGCAGGGAAATGCACGTTGCAGGCAGTGAGGCCAAGTGTACAAAGAGAAAGGAGGCTCAGTACAAGTTACGACACCGACATCTGGCATATAGATTTGACGTCTCTGTCACCTCCTTTGCTGGACAATGCTCTTGTCCCCAGAGTGAAGGCTTTGTTAAACACTGGAACTCTGCAAATGTGGCTGGCATCGCTCTGCAGAGTGCTTTGAGAGAGTTCTCATATGTACAGATCTGGCATTTGAAAGAAGGAAAATGTCAGGTCTCTCTAGCATCATACCCTAAACATCAGGTATTTGGGAAGGCAGCTCCTGCTGCAGAAAGCTGTAGTCTGAACACCACACAGCAGACATGAAGCTGTATTGAAAAATGATTTGGAGCAAAGGAGAGAAGCAGTAGTTGCCAGTTTTTACCAGGAGCTGGAGGGCTGTTCAGGCTTGGGCACTGTTAGCTCCTGATGTTAACACACCATCTGCAGGAGACAACTTCTATTTCCCTCTCATTCAGCCACTCATTTTAGCCCCTTTGGGACAGGCTAGCTGTGCAGAGGGATCATTTAATCACAGACGAGTCTGAGAATAAGCCATGTGAAAGATAACCTGCAAAGTCACTCTTCACTTTCTTTCCAGCTTAAAACTGGTATTAGGAGGGTTATTCTGTGGGTAGGACATGTAGGTGTGTAGGGCACGGTGCAGCAGTGAGCAGATATCTCCAGTGGTCCAGCAGCTCCGGCAGCCCAGCAAGGTGTTCAGGAAACCATTCACTTAAAAGCCCCTGGAGAACAAGTATTACAGGCAGGAGAGGAGAATAAATCCACATTTGAGCAGAGAGAGATGCTGTGTTCCAGGCATTGATGGGGTGAGGTGGGCAGAGCTGTTCTGCATCTCCTGCGCATCACAGGCAGAAGGAGCAACCGTGTAAATTGTATTAAATGGTCGATTAGATTTTTCTGTTTCCAGCAAAATTTAAATCCACCTTGAACCAAAGTTTTCCCTTGGGCTAGTGCAGCAGTTCAGCTGAACAGAAAAGATGCTATTGAGGCAATTTTTGGCATGGAAGAGATTAAGTACCGTGAAGTCAGAGCTAAAAGCTTGCAGTTCAGCAACACACCATGAAATTACATTCCTGAACATGTGAATTATATCATGGTCAGAACTCATGGCCATCTGACAACTGCCTTGGGAAGTTTTATATTAAAGTCCTGTCAAGCATTACAAGTGTCCTAAGATGATGATGGAATTACTGATTAGAGAGGGGCTTGTAGCATGGCTGGCAGCTGCTAAGGAATGGCCTTCAACTGCAGAGAAAGGGTCCTAATGGAGAAAGAATGGATTCTACAACATTAGGTCATTTTAGAGGATTTTTGAGTCTGTTTGTTAATGAATGTGTGTATCCGCAAAGTAGCCTCTTATGAGGTCAGGGAGCATCCCTAGGTGCTTGAGGGAGAAAATAAAAAGCTGTGTTGTTTTTTGAGTGGAGATCTTGGTAGCAGGTCCAAAAAGAGAACTCAGCTCCTGTCTCCATCTTCTCTAAACTCGCTCTTTCTTGCAGGGAAAAGAAAGGTCTATTTTTTAATTGGATCTTTTTAAATACTGTCAGGTTTCCCCTCCTCTTATTTGATACAAGAAGCAAAAATAGGGGACTTTCTCATGCATAGGCTGTGTTTATGTAACTCACTCTTATCATAGGATGTTAGAACACTTTGATAGTGTTTGCCAAATACAAACTTGTGGCTCCAATTTCTGGATACCTTTAAACATTTCCTAGGTGGGCTCATTAGCTACACTTCCCATCAGACACTTGTTCCTAATGGATGAAATTAGTTCCGATTTGATTTTCTCAGACATCATTTGGTTGTGATTTCGTTGGTTTTAACATCTCGTCAGTTAAACGGCATAGTACCTTTGTGTATATAAGCAATCATCCTGTTATGCTTAATTTTTTTCTTCGTTAAAGTAGATGATCTAAAAATATTAATTCTCAAGTTTAGAAATGTGCCCTGAGCAGCACACCTATTAAAATATACAATATAAAGAAACTCCAGCACTTCCTTTATTCTGAACCCACCAGATGATATCTTTGTCTCACTGGTGACAATAACACAACTTTCAGATCTCCATAAAACCAAGGTCGTACCCACAGATGTCTCTCTGTTGCCAACTACTTTTTCATTATAAAAGGAGTTTCATCTTCATGGCAGTTTTATGGCACTGAGGGAAGAAATTTGTACCATTCTCTAAATCAATGCAGAAAACAATTTCTTTCAACCAAATTTGAGGAACTTTTTAGTGTAAATGCCTCTGTCAGATACCTGCACCACAGAATCTGTCAGTGGATCTTTCCACTCTTTCTGTGGGTTTTATCCAAAGAGGATAAAGAAAGAAGATTCATTTTCTACAAGCATGAAACTGCACTAGAATGTATTAAACCAACATCAGGGAATTCAATTTCAGGGTTTTTCTCTCATAGTGAAAGTCATTTGGTTTGGGGCCATCAGTTAAGCAACACAAACCCCCAGCAGAGCCACAGTGCAATTACAATCTAATCACATTGAAGTGAAACTGCAAAATAATCTCAGTTGTCATTGCTACACAAAAGGTTGCTGTTAGCTGTCAGTCTCTCTATCACCAACAGGAAAGTCAACTTCCACACTGTTTACAAGCCTCGCTTAAGGAACACTGGGCCTAAATCCTAAACAAACTTCCTCTGCCATAATTGCTAACATAATAGCACAACGTGGAGACTTTGTCACTAGAGATCCATTATTATTTAAATTGCTATAGCACAAAGCCAGCTCATTCTTTGACACTCATTTTGTATGTTCAGATGCCAGAGGTTCTTGGTAGGATCACAATGAGCTGAGAAAGCAGCCTGCCCAAAGACTAGTGTTATTTGAAGGTATCCAAACAACAGCAATTACACTCAATATCAAATCCCCTTATTCCCTGGTCTATGTATTTTATTTGGAAACCATTGAATACATTTGCTAGATGAAAGTCACTGTGACAACTGCACTTTGGGATGACTTTCTGCTATTGTTGCAAATTCAGCAGAGAATACAGAGATGCTCAAGGTTAAACAAGGGTGCTACTGCTCTGCTGAACCAAGCCTAATCTAACGCATGTAACTCCTGAACCAAACACTGTTTGACTTCTTGTACCTCTGCCCTTCAGTGCTAGTTCAACTGGTCAAGTAGAAGGGTGAAATAAGGTGTTTTTCAAACCACACATCATCACGGTGCATACAGTTGTTTGTCTCGTGGTTTGTACGATGAATGTTTCACAACTCATGGTCACTATGATCTAAGCTAGAGAAGAAATTTGAATACAGTGGTAATGGTTTTTTTTAAGTTAAAACAATGCACAGACTTTTTTCATGTCTTTCAAGGAAGGTTTGGAGGACAGCCACATACATTTTGAAATCTCTGGACCAGAAACAGGCCACCAAAACAGATTTTGCAAGATGGATATTTTAGAGTAAAGGGAGGGGATGGATCTCTTGTTCATTTTGGATCCTAAGAGTAATATTTCATTACTTTCTTTCCAAAACAAAAGTAGAGCAAACAAATTGCTTTAAGTTCCATATTCAGGAACATTCCAGTAACATCACACCTTACACTTTAGCTTTTGTAATACATTTTCCTTTAGCTCTTGAGAGCAGGGTTCTGACTTCTGCTGAGTTAACAGCATGTTCTCCAGTGTAATGATTCTGGAGGCAACAAGGGAACTGTAAAACGGAACCTGGATACAAGATACAACATGCTCAATACCTCAGGCAGACTGCTCTCTATTTTGCATTGACAGTGTTAGATTTCATATTTAAAACTAAGGAAACAACACTCAGAACACCCACTTTTCCCAGTGTATAGGTCCTTCTACCTTTCTCCATGAAACAAAATCTCTTGGGCTTTTATATACATGCCTGCATGCAAAAGCGTATGTGTGCATATATATATGTTTGTATAAAACCCAGCCTCTAATGTTGTCCCTTCAAGAAATGATATCATATTTAAAAGTAATTTTGTAACTAGAAGCATCACATTCTTTGTGCTTTAGCAACTGATTAACTGAATTATTTACAGCTGCCAGTGATCTCAATTGGTTTCTAATGCACCAGAAGGCATTATAAATGCAGTTGAACGTCAGCCTGAATTCCTACTAAGCTGAAGGCTCTTACTGATTGCAATAGGATATGCAGGTTTGTAAGGCTGTGATACCTATGAGTTGCTTCTGTAATTGTTTGGTATACTGAAAAAAATAAGGGTATAATTACAAATTAAGAAATTACCATTTTTGGTGGTATTTGTTGAGCCTCGGTGCAGTTTGAGAGGTATTGTTAGTTCTGTTATCTACTGAAGCAGAAGGAAGCTGATTAGAAAATGTATATTCCCCATAATGTGATGCATTATAAAGATAAGCATACAGGGTAGCTAGCTTTGATGCTAAATAAGGTTCCCTTTGGGATCCCTTAGTTACATAGCAGGATTTAGTTTTGCTGTATGAGTATCAGAATGCCCAAATTCTGGCTTT